GGAAAGTGTCGTCCGTACAATCGAGTGTTTCTCCTTGCCTCTGCTATCTCGCACGTGCCGATGTTCCACTCGAAATAAAAAAAAAAAAAAAAAAAAAGGAACAGAAAGAAAGAATGAAAGGAAGAGAAAACGAAAAGAGAAAAAGATAGAGGAACATGCACGCGCTATAAATCCTCTCGTTCGGCTTGCGCATCGTAGCAAAACCTTACAAAGCGCTCTCTGTTTCAAGCGTGCTTACCCTTATCCCACTCCCGGAGGTATCAGAGAGCAAGCCGAATATTCGCAATTTCGCGCGAGCTTTTCCTCTACCCTCCTCTCTCCCCCCTCCCCCCTCCCGCCATGAGTAGAAAATTATTCGTTAAAAGCGGTCGTCCCAGTTCTAGGAAGCCGATAGTCATACGTGACCCGTGCAGAAACCCCTTCCATCCCCCGCCGACCTTCGTTTCCCTCCAGTTTTCTTTCAACCGACCTCTGATCCCTAGCGGCAGGGGGAACGTTCGAAGCTCGATTTACTTTCCGAGTACTTTCAATCTATCTCGAATCATTCGTGTGTCGATTTGAAACGATTTTCTGCCAGAGTGTTCGAGTGTTCGCCGCCTGGTCGCTCCAGTTTCGAGACGAGGAGAAATTAGGAAATAGACGAGGAGTTCTCCTCCTTCTTCTTTTCTCGCGCGCCTGCTCCTCACTTTTCGATTTCTTCTTTCGTTCGAAAGCGACGAGAGGAAAAAAGAAAAATTGAAACGGGCACTGGCCGTGCTGCAGGACGGAAGGCGGACACCTTTCGAAAGCTCCGACCGGTAAAAAGCACTGCCCGGGGAACAATGAGACGGTATCCGAATTGTTTTTGCGACAAACGAAAGTCTGCCAAGTCTATCGACGAAGCTACCTTGAGAGCTTTCCTACCTCTTCGACTTCCCTCGCTATCTTCTTCCACTCGAAACAATAGCTTCTTTTTCGCCCTCCCCCGTCCCGTCGTGCCTCGAGACAAATTTACGACCGATCCTCGAGATTCCGACTTCCGACTGACTAATCACCGGAGTGGTAGAAAGAAAGACGCGCGAGTCATACGCTCGTCGCAACGGCGAACTCTCGAAAATCGAAAATTGTCAAACAGTTCTCCGCGCGCAAGTGTTTACTCGAAATTCGAAGGAAATTCGCGGGCGTAATCCCACGGGATTTTACACGGAACTTGACAAACAAAAGTTGTCTCTTTTTTTCTTTCCTTTTTTTTTT